TCTCAGCATATCCAATGTTGTAGTGTAATCACAGCAGCTTCTCAATGTTCTTCAGTACAATTTAAACCTTTCATACTCAAAACCTCATCCTCCACCACAATGTTTCACAACACCTAGGTTACTTTTTGTTCTGCGGTGTACATATTTAAATCTTTATCAAACAAGTTTGCTAATCTAAAAGATTACTTGATAATCTAATAAAAAAATTCAAAGAAAGGAGATGAACAAGGAACCATCAGATTACAATATTACACATTCCACTATTTCACACCACCTGATATTTTGAAAGATCAATGCTTATTTCCTATGCTAGTTTACCTTTCTTTTCATTCTCTTTGCTGTATCTGTTGATCTTCCACTACTTTTTTCCCCCAGATTTCTGAAAGTAATAACACCAGTAGAAGGATTGACATGGATACTGAGTCTGCTGGAGGGCATACATTACATCCAAAAACTTGTCTGTTGCAAAATGTGCCACTTCAGATTATTTTCATTGCAACTTGTAGAATGAGTTCAGTAACCTGATACCATATAGACTGCAAAGAATAAGCATGGGCTCCTGAGCTAACACTGTTAATGTTACGCTCCCTTGTTAATATTTAATTTCCCAGTCTTTCCCTTCAATTTGTGTTCCCATTTTCAGTAGTTCTCCCTTTGTGTTTGTGTTACTTTACCTCATTGTTTAAAGCTTGTTATCACTAGTGCTTCAATCACTTTTTAAAAAAAAATACATTTAAATATTTATTTTTCCTGCTGTTTGAGTAGAATGAATCTGCCTAGGGAACTGTTTGGAACCTTTTTTGATCTGTCCGGCACAATGGCTTTTCATCAGGTGACAGTGGACCTCCAAGGAAGTCTGCATACGTTATTTAACAGAAGTAGCTGTAATATGGAAAACCAAACTACACAGAGCACCCATGCATTAACGGCTGGAAACCCTGCTGTACCAGTCCCATGACCTCCTAGTCTCAGTATGGTTTTTGTCAAAGATGGTTGTGAACTAAAATATGGTGGAAAACCTTTTAGTGGAGAGCAACGTATCTGCTTGCCCATTGACGTGAGTGAAAGATGGGGATGTGCTTTAGGACATGGGAATAAACCATGTGCAAAATGGGGGTAAGACACATGCAGGGGACAGAGTTACAAGAGAAAATACCCAGGAGTGCAATGAAAATGACTTACGAAGACATTTTTGATGCAGTAATGGAGCTATCTGATGATAACTTGCTAAATTTGGGGCGTTCCAAAATCTAGCACTTCCAACTGGTGTAAACTCAGATTAAACCCATGGTAGGTGGTACAATTATCTCAGTATATTGAAACGGAGAAGAATCATTTTTAAAAATAAATAGCTGTCATGCAAAGGCAGCAATAACATTGAAAGGAGGTGAGTGTTTTTCGCACTAGGGACAGTTTGAGCTCTCTGTCAATGGTTGGCTGCTTATGGGCTGAGGCAGTTAACTGATGCCAGGCTTTTGACTCGTTATTCCAAGGTGAGCTAGCTTCACTGTTGGAATGACAACAAGGATGTAATTTACTTTCAGATTCCAAAAGAACTACTGGCATGAGTTAGCTCAAAACACGATTGATGATGGAAAGAGAAGTCAGCTAATTACCAAAGCAATTATTCAATTTTTAAATCACCTACTGTGTTGACTAATCCATTATTTGAGAATTATTCAAACAATTATTCTGTCTCCATTTTGCATGCCTGATTTGACCCAATTTATACTTTAGAATGCAATTTCTTAAGAGCACCTGCCTATAATTCGCTCCTGGTAGATTCCAGTTTGATGTCCTCATCAACAACCCAAATAACTTTTTTTAACATTCCATTTAAGACTTGCAATATCACTTTAATATTGTTAAATAGATTATAACACCATCTTCTAAATAGTAAGTTGTACTACTATTGTGCTTTAATCAATAAAATGTACATCAGCTGGAAAGCATCACCTTTATTTAGTTGGTGTCACTATTATTTACATTTAATATACAAAGTATAACAGAGGTGTACTCTATCTTTTCAAAACAGCCTTTGTATCCTTCTCCAATCTTGGCCTAGCTCTACCTCAGACATTGCAGTTCCTACCAATACCACTCTCTGCAGGGCAGTGAATGGATTGACTGAGATTAGTCCTTGCTTTCCTAAATGACTGTAAAAAATCTGTAGTGAACAACAAGGCCCCAGATTTGGCTGAAAATTGGCCATAAGAGATACTATATAACCACTGTCTTTTTTTTTCCCCTGTGGGCTCCTTTTATTTTTGTTCATTCATTTCATTGCGATGACACAGCAAAGAACTGGATGGGTGTTCTAATATTATAAGCAATTAGCTACTTGCATTGACAGCCACAAGAATATTGTGACCCGCAAGAATTAAGATGTCAGAAACACTGCCGCTTCATCTGCTAAACAGTGTCAACTGAACAGGAAATTATCTCTGGCGAATTAACCATTTTACAAAAAGGAACTGCCTGTCCTAAAACACTATCCCAATTATTTGTCTGAATTACACTGTCTTTGAGTTAGAAAGCCTGAATCATTCATATTAGTTCTGCTGTCATCAAAATAACTCTCTATATTGAATGATAGATGGTTAACATTCTTTAATGGCTTTTCCCTTGTCCATTAGTCTTTCAAATTATATCAATCCATTGTTGTGAACAATTTTCTCTGCAAACTTGCTGAATACATGGTAAATGTCAGTTTATGTATCAGTGGAAACTAGGATTTGAACCATTGTTTCCAAACTTGAGAGTTCAAAATACCACTATGACATCTACCTGACTTTGTTCCTGTTTCAAGCCTTGAATGAAAACTAGCCTTCTTTTAGGTCTTACATCAAAGCAAATTTCAATTCTTTGTCCTCACTTGCTTGTAAGATATATAACGCAATCTCTTAGACATGTTTGGGTAAAACGTAATCTAGCTGATAACTTTATGACTTGACACATGTCTCCATGGGAACATGGCTGGAGAAGGCCCTCTGCCTATCAAGTTTTCAAAGCATCTGGATGATGAAAATAGCATTTTCCTTCAAATAAAAATGAATTCAATTGCATTTTTACTGCAGTACTTTCACTGCTCAGGAACTTGCTAATGAAGATAAAATCTACATTTGTTGTGGTTCTTGATCACTTCATGGCCTATTTCATACATAAACCTACAAGTACAAATCTTCTCAAAAACTTGGAACCTACAAGTTCATTTCAAGGCTGCTGATATGGTGTGGATGACCACACCAGTGTTGCTTCACAGGAGCAGTTCTACTTGTCACCACAGGTTATTGCAGAGGCCAAAAGACTTATAAAATGTTCACCACTGTACAATAAATGCCTCACCAGGTCAACATTGGTCCAATATTTATATATAGCTTCAAAATTGCATACCACAATTTTCACAAACTTGAGCTTTACAAATCCTCAGATTCCACTATTCTTCTGAGCAGTAGGAGTCTGAATACTTAACATGCTATTCTGTGGGAATATCAATTTTCAGACCTACCCTCAAAACAATGCACCATTTTTAAAACATGCCAAATTTCATTATCTAATTATGCCAGTGGCCAAATTTCCATCGGAAACTTCACTGCATATGCAAAGCATTGTACCTATCTAATCAGAGACCTTAGAAGCATCATCGGTATAAAAGTAAAACCAAGATTAACAAAATGCAAAAGAGCGAGGGGTATTTGTTTCAAAATTGAAGGTAAGGGAAAAAAAGCATGAATATTTGCAAAAGGACCAAACATGGAAGAACAATGAATATTTCCAAGAAGATTGGACTGTCTGGAAAAAAGGAAGGCAAATGACATGGTGCCATTAAAAATATGAGAAACGAGTTTGGAACAGAGAAATGAAACACAAAAGAAGAAGAAAAGATGAGGATAAAGGGCACACATGGCAATAAAACGTGAATGACAAGTCTGCTTGTACTACCTTCTATAGGAAATTCTGATTTGTCTGAATCTCTGACAGTTCTTGGTTACAAACTATTGGTGACTGACAAATGGTGAATTTTCATTTGCTTCACATCAATCTGTCACTGAATTTAGCCTATTGGCCTGATTGGTGATTTCAATAGTTGTACGATTGGCATTCCACTCTCCAGCTCAAACTTGATAATTAATTTTTATAAAAAGATAAGTCCATATTGGCCTCCAGCGTTTAAAAAAATATTTGCACAGTCACATGCCCATGGAATAAGCTCAATATTTTATCTCTATGCAATGTCCTCCAATATTTTTTTCACTCAGCAAAGAAAAACACCAAGTCTTTTATTCTCTTGAGAACAATACCATACAACTCACGACCACAGTTAGAAAATGATCGAGCTGTTGGTGAAACTCTCCAAGGCCTCTTTTCTCCCTAAGCCATCTCATCTTCTGAAGGGGCAAAAGAAACACATGGAGGGAAAGCCAGTTGTGCACCATATCTGTGCATGGAAATGGTTACCCATGAAATGGTTGACTTATGCTCAGAAGATGAACATTTGGATGATATGGTACAAGCTTCTTTTTTTTAAAATTGAGCAAACGCATCAAATCTGACTAAGTCATCAAACTAATCCAGTATCTCTCAACCAAATAGCTTCAATCTCCAACATTTACAGTATTAACATTTGGTTAGAAATTCAGCCACTGCCCTTTTAATCCATCAGCCCTTTAAATTGACTACCATACCACATGGCTTCCTTTGATAGAAACTGTCAGGTGACCTGAATGGTATAATACCATCTGTTGTGCTAATGTACCAACTAAAATGAAAACCTTGAATAAAACAAGGAACTGATGTTAAGTGTCTCTGGAAAGACTGAAGCCTCATATAGTATGCCACTTTGTTTAGATAAAACAAATGCATTTGCTCGACTAACATGTCAGGAATTAGGGCGTGAGTAATTAGTGTGGTCTGACAGTGCCATTGTCCTCTGGCTCACTGACAAATATTCCAGACTCTTGTTATTATGGAATCGGTGACGTGTTATTGTTTTATTAAGATCAAACAGTTACTTCTGTTTTGCTGGCTGTATGGTAATTACGGTGATGTCCTGGGATATAGTGGAGCTGTTCCACTGTGTTGTGCCGACGTGAAGCAAAGGCATGTCGCTTAGCAGCAGTGTGGTTTGTTTGATTTATATTTAAGGTATTGTAAGAAGAGTTTGAGGCACTGGGATGCGAGTGCATTTTTGTCATCTTATAGCGATCTAAGACAGGCGTGGATACAAAGACATCTGTGTGGGACTGGGACAAGGCCCTGGACATAGCCTTTTCACGGAACGCCGAGCGTTTGAGGGACATAACTTTATCGGGAGAGAGCAGAGGGTCCTGGGACTGAAGACGTTCAGCTGACAGCAGTTGTTCATCAGATAGGATGCGCTCGTAAGTCATGACACATTCTTGAGGCACATCTCTCTCTGGAGACAGGACTCTGTCCTGTGACATTGCTCGCACTGGTCGTCTAGGCCTCTCCCTGGTGTTACTGTGTTCCTGATTCATTTTCATAATGTGGAGAGGCAGGGTTCCTCTTGCGGCCAAGTCTGGAAGGTGTCGCCTTTTCATGTAATATTCGTCAATCTCCTTTTCACCTGCAGGAATGATGCAAAAGAAAACCCTTTTTAGAATACTTATGTCATCCACCCAATACTTTTTAATTCTGAAAGATCATAGTTATCACAGTCAGGGCTGCTATTTCTTCAGTTTTGTACAATTTTTAAAATCTGATCTCTCAGACTTCTACAACGTCAACAAAACGCCAACAGTTAGAAGTGGAGATCTGTACTTTTAACTCTTGTGCAGTCCTTTGGTATTGAAGCATTGATTTCTCCAATCAGCAGCAAGAAAAGCACTTCTAAAATCTTCTGCTATTCCACCACTTTGAATGTCCCATCTCCACTGCCTTCTTTTACCCAATTTTACATTAACTGAAATTTCAGCGGCCCTAATTACAATTTGGGTTAGAACAATGAAGCTATAATAGATTTGAGACTGTCTTCAATAATATACATGGCATGTATGGTTTTTATATCCTCAATGTACACAGGAGTTATTTATATTTTCATTTATAAACAGAATTATACATCAGATACTCATGCAGAAAAATGTGTAATGTTAATGTATTTGATTGTGAAATGAACAAGCTGCCATTCGTACAGAAAAATACTGACAGTAATGTTTCCCATGGGGAAAGGTATCAATGAAAATACAAAGCAGAAGCAGACAGGCATCAATAGTGTAACTGCAACTTTCATGGTACCCTTTGCTCAGTTATCCAGTATTAAACTTGATCTGCCTTTTCTTTTCCCCAGCAAAGATCTGTTACAATCCCCAGGAGATTGAAGAAGGGTCTAGGTCTGAAACGTCAACTTTCCTGCTCCTCTGATGCTGCTTGGCCTGCTGCGTTCATCCAGCTCTACACCTTGTTATCTCTTGTACTGCGGTGTTCACTCAGACTTGTACCTCAAGTGCCTGTTCATCGCTCCTGAGCAATGGACCTGAATGAGTCACGGTTCATGCACAGCTGTAGTAACATTTTACTTGGAACTCAATCTGGCAGTCAATTTAGCAATTTTAAAATGTTCCAGTAAGTCCAGAATTCTGTAAAATTTTTGAGAATTTCTTGCCTTGGGAAAGATGGACATTATTGAGTTATTCATCTACATGTCATTAGGAGTTCCTTGTGGCCACTAGTTAGGTTCTACCCTAGTAGACTCATTCGACCTTGCTAACTTCTTAGTATCCAGTACAAAATGCTGCATATTTGTTTTCTTCTTTCTATTTTCAGTTCTCTATATTTGCACATTTAAAAAATTCTTACCATTTAGCTACAAGTGTGGTTTAAAAACTTTAAAAAAAAGAATATGCTCGATCATTTTCTTTCTTATTTCATATTTCCTTTCCTTATTTCTTGATATCTCACATTTTGTAATGATTTCTCCACATTACTAACTTCAGCTCCAGTTAGTTTTTCCTCTTCTGTTCCAACTTGCAATTGTTAGGTCTTTTCAGTAATTCACCGTCCCTTATTTTATTCTAATCTCTTCCCTGTTTGCTTTTTCATGGTTTTGTGTTTTCTTCATGTTATTCCATTTCTCAGTTAATAATTTCCTTTGTTCTGTCTTCAGTTATTTTATTTTTGTTTTGTTATATTTCTCGATTCTTTTTGCACTGATTCTTTTCCATTTTTAGACAGATCAGTGTTCTTAATAATGTGTCAGGATTTGTCTGGAAGATTTTTAAAAATTATTCACAGGATGCAGGCCAGGCCAGCATTTATTGCCCATCCCTATTTGCCCAGGGGGCAGTTAAGAGTCAACCACATTGCTGTGGATCTGGAGTTACATTGTAGGCCAGACCAGGTAAGGTCAGCAGTTACGTTCCATAAAGGACAGTAATGAATCAGATGGGTATTCCAACAATCAACAATTATTTCGTGGTCATCAATAGACAATTAAATTCAGATTTTTTTTTGACAATAAATTTAGCTCAAATTCCACCATCTGCCATGGTGGGATTTGAACCCAAGTCCTCAAAACATTAGCTGAGTTTCTGGATTAATAGTCTAATGACTACACCACTAGGCACTTGCCGCCCTTGCCTCCCTTGCAGATGCTGACTTTCTCTTACATACTCTGTTTTTTACTGCAGCTGAAATACAAGACTTCTGTACCTGCAACAAAAACCCTCTACCAGACAAAGCAACTTCACAAAAAGGTGGTTTTGAGATCTCCTGGAAATCTTGCTGCTTGAATGGGCCCTGTTCATATTTCAGGAGTGGTGGGAGGAATTATTTTGTGGGGGAGGGGGAAATGGGAGTTGTGTGAAATGAGGTGGGGAAAGAAACTTCAGTAGCAAAAGAGTATTCTGAACATTAGTCTTTCCCAACTGTTTCAAAACGGGTCAGAAATTATGATACTCTGTCACTTTTTGGACAAACTGCAGGATAAGCCTGCTTGTACCATTCGGGAGGTGATGTTTGTCTTTTACATTGGGAGTTATATTGCTCATCACCTCAGGAGGGGTATTTAGCTGATGCACCTGTCGAGAGAGGTCCCACATCTCATTTGCCTTTCAACATGGCCATCAAAGCAGCAGTCAACAACAGCACTGCAAAAGGAATGATCCTATAAGGTGAGGTAAAAGTACAATTAATATTCTTTATCCCTGCAATGAGCTTAATTATCCATGGAATATTCTATTGACACTGAGAGATTGGCCATCAATAAATGATGGTGCACCATGAAGTTGAACAGTTGACACACTTGCTTGTGCAACAACTGGGAGACTGCAAGACTGAAGCAGTTGGAAAATAACAGGAATTAACAACAAAACAAGTTACCAGATTTGTTTTTGTAGGTATGATGCAAAATAATGTTAATGGAAGATTACGGAACACCTACTTAACCGCTTTATTGAAGAATACTTGCTTATGTCAGATTTAACTGCAGATTCATAAGATGGTGGAAGGTGTGAGAGACTCTGGTAGGATCTTGAGAAAGACAGATCATATGGTTCAGTTGCAGAAGTAAGAATACTGTTCATCCGAGGCTTTTCTATGGGGAAGAGATAAAAAAGAATTATGTAAGAACAAGTAAGTTATCCAATAAGCTTTCAATCAATTTTGTGTCTTTTCTATTGTGCTCTTAAAGAGCCTGAACAATGCTGAAGTAAGTTCCATTATGCCTTGTTCAAGTAACATCACTAAGCAGGCATCAGACCATATCTAACCTTGATCTCCACACATCCCAGTGTGGGGTTACAGTAACCTGTAGTGGGAACCCTGGCTGCATTTTCTGCCCTAGGTGTTGGGGTAGGTGATAAAAAAGGCCAATGATAGTACCCATACTGAGATTTTCATTGCCATGAGACAACTAAGCCTGACTGGGGAATGAATAGCTCAGGAACACACTAGATTAACACATTTGAACTTAACCATCAAGCCACCAAGGCTATAGGCTTCCCCTGCTGTGGCACACTCTTCTCTCTGCCACCTCACAATCACTCAATGTCTGTTGCTGTACCTCCCTCCCACCAAGGCTCATGAGCTGCCATCCCACAGCTGTCTGCAATGTCTTCTCTCGCCTGCGCTCACTTCACACCTGTCACTCAGCACACCTCATCACATGCCCCAGCACGAACAACTGTGCCATCTATTTTCATCTCTACACCAGTGGTGCCACCAGCTCTCCTCGGCCAGTGGCTACCAGCCTCCGTCTCTATAAATCAGTAGGCCTCAAACATCTAAATCTCCTTCCTGATAGCCTATAACTCCCATGGGTTCATACTGTCTTACTTAAGGTCCACACCGAACCCACCTACATGAGTCTGCAACTGCCCACCTTTCACCCCCACTAGGCCACGTGTGCCCTGATATTGTATCCCCACCTCCTTGAAGCCAGGGTGCTCCTGAACATGTACAAACCCTCCCCTCCAACCTGCATGATTCCCTTTCCCATCCATGCTTTACTGTATTCATCCCTTGCAGAAACTGTTCTGCCCCCTTCACAGTTAGAATCCCTCCTTCATCCAACACTGCAGCCCCACTTCCAAAGAATAACTTGCTGGGTCTCCTTGTCTTCCTCCCTATCACCCCTCAGTCACTGTAGACAGACCCAATGGACTGACGTTGGACCTCATCCTTGAGTGTCATAACCAGACAGCCTTGGGTGAGGGTGCTCAGACCCCTTACTGGTACCTGTCCACCCTTCTGTCTACATTAGTCCTAGGCACCCACCCACAAGATTAGCTGCTTTGGAGCCAGAGGACTGACAGTGGCCCACTCCCAAGTCTGCAGTGGTACGAACCCCCTGACTGAAAGCACCCCGACTGGAAGCTTGACTGTGGACAATCCTCTGGGCTAGTCTGGGAGTGTACCCTTAACTTACTGTGCCAGATCGGTGCCTTCAATGACTTTGGTGAAGACAACTCCTCAGAGATGTCGAGACAGAGCTCCCGGCTTCCTGCACATGCAGCGGGTTTGCCACATAAGTTGCTAGCATTTAGAGCAGCTGTGAGATTGGCATAGCAGTGTCATACAGTAGTGTGCCCTACAGTGGGATCTGCTGACCAACAAGGCAAGCTGCCTGGTTGTTTGACTGCGCTAATTGGTATGGTACGGCATGGCTACAATGAGCATGTGGGAATGTGCTAAGAGAGCAAGCTAGCTGCCCTGAGATACAACCTAGTCCAATCCATGCGCTGGGCTCCCTGTCCATCTGCTCAAAATGTCTCTGATGCAGCCTTTCAATGTGACTTGTTAATCCAAGTCTGCAAAGCCAGTCTGCCATCCCTGTGCAGCCTGCAAGTGTAATGAGAGGTGCCATGTTGGTTGTGACGGGTTGTCAAATGCCAGATGCCAACATCTGAGAATAAGGGGTATGTGTGGTTTGTCCTGAGCATCATGGGGGTCCTTCAGAGAAAGCAGTGTGCTAATGTCGCCAGGTACCCACACTTCTCGCTAATCAATCACATTTGGCACATTTGGTGAGGTGGGAAGCTGAATGTTAATGAGGTGAGTTAGTCTACTAATAAGGTGTTAACAAGCTTTAATGCTCCTTAGTTGGCAGTTTATTGTTGCCTAACGAGAAACCAACCTTGCCACTTTTGAAAAGCATAAAAGGTGGAGTGAGACACTCCTAACACTGGACATCCTATTCGATTCTGCCACAGTTCTTGCCCACATTACTCAGACTACAATACGGTTCTGTCCACAACGTTGTTATGTTTTTATTTATTCACTCGTAGGATGTGCCAACTTTGGCTGACCAACATTTATTACTCATCACTATTTTCACTTGAGAAAGTAGTGACGAGCTTCCTTCTTGAATTGCTGCAGTCTATTTGCTGTAGATAAACCCACAGTGCCCTTGTGGGGAATCCCAGGGTTTTACACCAATCACAGTGATGGAACAGCAATATATTTCCAAGTTGACTGCAGTCATGTCTTGTAATTGATAATAATGAATCTGATATGAATCTTATGTCTGAAGGACAATTGGGAAATCTTTTTGGGAGCAGGTTTTGAATTCCACACCAGTGATTTCCCACTTTTTTAGTATCAAGGCACATTTCAATGAGACAAACAATTCCATGGCATACTCATGTTATTCATCTGAACTGATTGTTCATAAACATCACATTTACTTGCATTTTTTATGGTTACAGTCTTACTGAGTGGTTTGCAACATAGCGCACACAAGAAGCTAAAGAAGGATCAATAACATTAATGCTTCAAATCCGCTGGAAAAAATATATTGTCATCAACTGTCAGCATTTTTAAAATCTGTTCAAAACAAGTATTTCTAACTCTTCATGGCCCTATTTGTTTAAGCAGAAACAATGTTTGTTTTACATTGACTTTTATTACCCCTTTACAGAAAATTTAATGGCACACTTGAATGGTTCCACAGCATGCCAGTTGAAAACCACTCTTCCACACAACTTTTTCACTCCAATACATTTATACTTTCACTTTTGAGTTTTTCAGCATAGGCACTGTGCTACAATTCATTAAGAGAATCTGAGTTGTTGTGTAAACAAGCACTTGTCCATGTTCGCTGTAGTCTGGAGCTACAGATGGTGATAGGAGAGGCTGCAATGTTCTTTCCTTTTCCAGGCTGACCAGGAAGCCCTCCCGCTCTTACCTCCTGTCATTGGTGCACATTGTGAGGAATTGTAGGTTGCTCCCCTTTGGCCATCTTATAAATACAACTTCCTTGGCCATCAAGGACTGAAGTGGAGCTTATACATGGAGCTTCCAGCACAGAGGCAGGGACTCTACTCACTGTGCTGCAATATTTTGCCTTTTCTGCAGTACAAGTCCCAGATAAACAGCAACTGGTGAAATAGCTATGAGTAACTCTCCACAATTTCCATGTTTTCTGCTTGAAAATGAGCACAGATTGTGTACATTTCCACGGTAGGCAAATGTCGCAGTGTGTACTAATTAGATATTTTCCTACAGCAGCACGTGAATTCAAATATAATTCCATTAGTTAATCACCACACCTGTACAGTGTAATTGTAATGGTACTTTCAAAAAGCCAACACCTTGTTATCTCTCTAGGAATCCGTTTCCAAACATGGAGATCGCCAGAGATAATTCACAATGGGATATGCTACAGTGGGCATCTAATTATGAAGCAATCATGCGGACCACTTCAGTTCCCAGGACTGGTTACCAGATTTCAATTCCAAGTGAGCAAACGAAAAAGAAAGGATGTTTTGTGGCCTGTTAGGCTTTTCCTTGTTGCTTCATGTTCTTAAATTCTTGCGCTGTACTGTACTTAAGCAGAATTTTTGAAGGAAACATTGTTTTGATTCACCCACTTTTGGCAACCACTCATTCATGATGTCCTGACCCAAAGCTCCTGAATTATCTTCCCAAACCTCTTCTTCTTTAAGAACTTGAAACTTACTTCAGTTCTTATGTCTCTTTCATTGATTTCAAATCAGTGACTCTCCGATTTCTTAACCATGAAACATCTCGAGAGGTTACACTACATAAGTGGTACCATCGTTTAGAATGTGAGATTTTATAAGATAGTTTAAATTGTTAATTATAATTCAAGTTGCAGAGACAACATTTTTATTTCCTTTCTTTTGGACTGCACACTAAAAAATGGTAGCTATTTCTTGAAACCTGAGCATCTGTGTAAATATATGAGCATAATTTTAAAAATCATGTTTACTGAACACATTGTGAATTGTATACACAATGTTGCCTTTTCCTGGAACAGTGAGGGCAAAGGCAGACAGAATGGAGCCCATGGCTCTTGAACTAAGGGACAATTGTTTGACAACACATCTTAATCACTCCCTGCCAAGGGCCCACAGGCTTGTGTGGACACAGTGCTACAGAAATAGATAGCCTGCAGAGAGAAATTACCTTTCTCTCCTTCTTGTGCAGAGAAGCTAACAGAACTCCTGGTAGCTGAACTCACTCACATTTCCTCTGTAAAGTGCTCTTTTTGCAAATTCCTTTGTTGAAAGGAAGAAGGAAAAACCACCTTCAGAAACTCTGAAAGGGACAAATTCTCAAACAGCGAACAAAAGACACCATTGGCTTGCCAGTCTCATCAGCCAAAAACTAAAACGAATTGGAAGAAACCAAAAGAAAACAACTTATTAACTCTTGCGGTACAGACTAAAGTTATTGAACTTTTCTCTGACATTTTTCATCCTTTTGCCGTCCTTAATATCCATATTTTGCCTGTCTTGTGTGTCTAACTGTTTGTGAAAGGAGGAAATTAAGAAGGGGTAGAGTTCAAGTTATATATTAGCAATTCAGTTTCCTTTTCTCCATTTGGTAAAAGAAATTGTTTGTAATGAACAATTATTTTCTTGTTCAGCACACAAACCTGCTGTGCATATTCTTTTTAGTCTGAATTAGTCAGGTCAATAGAATTTGGCAATTTGGTGGTGTAACCAATTTATCACATTTATGGTGACTTGGGGCATGATAGGACTTGATTGCACTATCACCGATGAATGAGTAAAAAGGGAGAAGGTGACCTACTGCCAGTTCTGCTAGGCAAAACGTAGATATGACCTA